AAAAAATAAAAATATTTAATAAAAAATGAATACAAATTAAAAAATTAAAGTTTATAAAAAATAAATAAAAATATTTAAAAAATAAAAAACATTTTCGGTATCGGCCTGACATTTATTTTTATTTCTGTTTTAAAATTTCCATTTCGGTGCACCTCTAGTATAAAGTGTACACTCCACTCAGCTCTCCGCATAGCGTGCTGCGCTGAGGTGACATACAGTACCATCTGTAATGGACTCCCTCTGTTTCTTTTCTTAATATTATTATGATTTTCCATTTAAATTTTTCAATTGTTACTCAAAATTATTTGATCATTAGTGCAGGACGTGTTAGAAAATGAGCCCCCTTCGGACCTCGTTCACACCTTGGCATTCTGTGAGCGCACGTCAGGTTCGTGCACGTTTTTACAGCTGTTGTGGTGGGTCAGCCCATTAACTTCAATGCGGTGAAGTAGTTCATGCAGCAGATTCTGCTGCAGGTGTACGGCAAATTTCTAACCACACGGGATATGCTATGCCTGATGAAGGGATCTTGCATGGCCCCTAAAGTGCTTGTGTAACTGACATGAGTTTGCAATAAATCCACGATTCTATAAGGATTTCGGTGTGCTGGTGACGTTTCTGCAATTATCTACAATTTGGGGCGCCAAATTAAAATGGGGATGTACAAAACCCAGGAGCTCCGCATGCTCCTTACAAATGACAGCTGCCTCCTAACTTTTGAGTTTTTCTCTAGTCTAGTCTTGAAGCTGGAAAAGTATCTGTACTTGTACCGATTGCAGTACTTGGTATCTGAACATCCCTAGTAGGCGTTCTGTGATTGGACGAGGGACAGTGCTGTGACTGCTAAGGAATTCTTCCTTCACTTCCTGTCCCAGAGATGCAACAGGAAGTTAGAGGACATTTACCAGTGAGGGGAATTCCCATCTTAGACAATTGTCACTGGAACTGGTGTCCACCCTATTTCCTCACTTCTTGTTCTAGTGGCCCTGCCCATTTACAGGGTGCGGGGAGGGACAAAATCTGTATTACCCAACTGCAGTGAGAGGTCTCCTGCCCTGGCAGATGGAAGGTCTTCTGTATGGCAGAGCTGTGTAAATCTAAGGAATGGCTGGTTCAGAAAAATACACTTTTGGTAGCTAAAACAGCTCTCTTATGTATTCCATCTGTGTATTTAGCGGTTTGCTTGAAGTTCAGCTTTAATAATTCACTTCCACTCCGGCACTGAACTTGTTATAAGTATCCAGGTTAGGGTTACATTTGCTATATAACATTCACAGTAATCCAATACACATCCAAGTGACGCAGCTGTCAAACCTACTATTGTTACCATTGTGTTGGCAAATCAATACCACGGATGCTCTTACTAACAAACAGCAGGTTCAAAATCTTTACTGGCATCAGTCTGTTGAATATACTTCAGACAAATGAGAGACATTGTTCACCACACAAGCTTGAACTGCTCCAAAAGCAACCAAACTTTTTATATTTTTAGATCAATAACAAGTTTACAGGTAGTGTTGCTGCAGAGAAAGCCAAGGTATACGAGTAGAACAGTATAGGAGCACTCCAAAGGCCCAATTCACTACAATAAAGCAAACAGGTGACGAGGGAGCATGGAGCAGGGTTCCCGGCCAATCAGGAAGCCTGGCGGCGTGTAATGACTTGCCTCCCGGCTTCCTGATACTGGGAGTTGCGGTATCAGGATAAGTATCTGTACATTCATAAGGGTTAGTTCACACCATAGGCAGTACATTCCAGTCCGTTTCTGGCCGGAACACACTGCCTTGCATTGCGGCCGGCTCAGTTTTTTGCTGGGCAGGAGGGAGCATGGTGGGCCATTGAAGTGAATGGCACCGTAGCCATGCTCTCAATGCGATCGCAGTGCATTCGGCTGCGGTGCGATCAAAATAGTGCTTGCAATGAGGGCAGTGCGTTCCGGCCAGAAATGGACCGGAGCGCTCGGCCTATGGTGTGAACGAGGCCTCATATATTAGGTATATCTATACTGCGAATGCTGACTGCATTTAGAAAATGCTAGCCCCTTGGCTGTTATGCCCCAGTCACACCTATGCATGTTTATGTGTGTTTGGCACATTTTAATGCACGTTTTGACTGACAGCTGAAGAAACATTGCGATCAATGGACGAACACGCGTATAAACACGCATGACAGGCTTCTGCAGCACGTTTCCTGGGGTTTCTATTGAAGTCTATGGGGAAAAACGAGCTTGAAACTGCCAAAAAATCTCATGTACTTTTTTCTGTGTTTGGGGTTTTGCTGCTCAGGTGTGAACTGGGGCCATTGAAAATCAAAAGATTTCTTGTGTTGGGTGTTTACTGCTCAAAAATGCCTAGGTGTGAACCAGGTCTTAATCTGCCACACTGACTTCAGGGCTTTCTGCATTACTGACCAGGAACATGTACGCTGAAGAGGATAATGGGTCAGTAAACCTAAAGTGTGAAAGCCAGAAGATCAGCCTAAGGGGACTAGTATTTTCAGTAAATCTGCAATGGTGGCCTCCATTTCTCTTCCAAGAAAGGTTTCATTCGCATGGGGCGTGCTGCTCCATACAGCACGAAGGACCGTTGTTGATGTGCCCGGAGCTGCGGGTAGAAGTGTGCGGGAGGCTAATTTAACTCTATGTAGAGATGCATCTTATCTACATCCAAGGCCTTACACTATTTTCAACCAATTAGCAAGGAATGACCTTTTAGGCTTTACCAGGCTAATGAGGACTGATGAGTTGTAATAAAAAAGAAGCGTTGGTACTACTTTAAGGATTATAAGTGGAAGAGTGAATGTATGATTGGCACATAAAGGTGCCTTCTGGTCATCAGTAACTTTAGTTCACGTCCTGCCTTGGAATACAGGATGGCCTGGAAGGAAAGGTACTTGCTGTGAGCTTATTCCTTTAGATATTGCTAGAGTTGAGATTTTAGGAAGATGATGTTTAAAAAGTATTAAAGCTATGGGCAGAATAAAAATGCCATGATACAGTCTGTCATTAGCTTAAGAACAGCAGTTTTGGTTCTTCCGAGTGCCCCAATAAAATAGTTTTATCTCCCCATTCTGCCAGGATATCCATTAGTTATTACTGAAACAGGCCAAGCTGTCCAGCAAACATTTGCAGCTACAGTTACAAGAAGTCCCAGTGTCAGCAGCTACATGGTCAAAACAACTATCCATTAACCAGCTGGGGGAACTAACTGCAGGGGAATGGATTAAAGTACAGGGTGACCACTGTCCTACAGCACTGAGAACTGGTGGTCACCCTATTAACCATTTTGGGGTCTTTTATTTGTTTGGTGATGTCTCAGTTTCACGTTATAACCTTTAGGTTTTCGAATCTACCCCAACGGACCTATAGGGCACTACTTTTTTTCATCACAATGATTTTGGTGCCACGCACTCCTGCACCGGATGACTGCCAGATGTATTGGGGTGCCATTAAAATGAATGGCTACAGAACACGCCTAGGTCATGGTGCCACATGCTAGGTGAACTTTGTGATAGCGTGCCGAGTGCAACACTACAGCCTGAATGAGTCCCTAAAGTACTAAGCACACCACAGCTGCCAAACTTAAAATCACTGCACTTTCAGGTATGATGGGAGCACGTGACATAACCCCTGCATCCCACAATGCACCACTCAATGCCAAGTCCCAGCCCTGCCAAATAAGGAGCAGAGAGCTTTCCTAGCAGTGTGCAAGAATCCATTTTTGCAGACCCACTACAGGTGCAGGACCACTACAAATGGAGTTGAAATCCCATTTTACTAAGTAAAATGATTTTGCTCAACATGCAGCTTTGCAATACTTACGTTTCTCCCTGCCGCTATCCATTATCCAACCTCTTACTGCTGCTTCTCTTCTGAGTTACATTATGTGCAGTGTCATTCAACCCACTTCCTCTGGACACAACCCCTGGGAGGTACTAGAATGGCATTCACACATTACAATCCCCACCTCTTTCTCTATCTGGCCCAATCAGTGGCAGCATGGGCATTCCCCACCCCGTTGTGATGTATAGCTGCGGGACGAGGAATACTCTCTCCACAACTGATTGGGCTGGTAGGAGGAGGTTGCAGTCACAGTTTTGAGTGGGCTTGGGTGAACTAGATTTGCACCAAGCTCAGGCTCAACACTGATCACAACATAGGGTCATTCTATGCAGCACTGATGACTGTCCATCACTGTGCGATGTCACATTTCAGGAGGCATTATTACGCTCCATTCATAGAACAGTATATGAATAGCCACAGCGCCAGATCACTGTCTGTGCATGCGTGACATCTGCACTGGGTCTATTTACATGAATGGAGAGGGCTCTGCTCCTGGTATATGTGACGTCGGAGAACGAGATGTCAAAAGGTGAGAATAGTGATGGGGAGGCACACAGAAAGAAAAGAAAAACAGAAGTACATTAAAAATATAATGTAGACTTTAATAAAAGGGTGATGGGGGCAGGGAGTACAATGCGCCACACTTTATTGTTAAGGTCCCCTTTAACAAGCATTTAACCCTTGCAGTGCTGAGCGGTGGGGGGGCACTCCAAGGGTTAATGTTTGTGTAATTCCCTGAGTTAGTAGAACTACACAGATTAGAACTATTGGTCACTGTGAGAAGTGTCTCAGGACCGGATGGTGATGTTACCTGGAGCAACAGCTGCTGCAGTCAGTGTATGATGATGAACGACTGTCCCAGCCTCCTCCTTCGTCATCTTCCTCCTCCTGAAGAGTGGTCCTGTCCCTCACCCCCTCCATGTACACTTTTATTCAACTTCACGCACTACACCAGCGCACTACCAGCCCAGCTACTATACGTATCTACACAGCGCCATGAACACGCACACCATTCCCACTACAACATCATCTCACAACAGCCGCTCCACACATCGCCTAGGAAGAAGCGTATGTAGCAACAGTCAGATACAGGTAAGAGCCTAGCCCCGCCTCCTCCGGCTCTGCGAACACGGTAATTGGGCAGACTGAGCACGTGATCTATCATGGTTTGGGTTCCGGGAGTTGTAGAATGTTATTCAGCCTTCTGTGGACTACATTCCCCAGAATCCTGTGCGAGGGCGGGCTTTGGAGTGGCTCGCACCTCGCCTGAGTAATTTCGTACCACGGGTTTTGTGGCATCTAGCAGAGACTGTTCCAGGACAGTAATATGCAGGCGCTGCCGTCTGTATCACCTTATGAAGACAAGTTGCCTGGTGGTTTGTAAGGATTTGGAGAATATGATTGGAATTGTATCAAGCATATTATTATATAGGATTTATATAGTGCCAACAGTTTGTGTAATGCTTTAGAAGATAAATGGAGACTGTGCACTTCTGGCTTCACTGCAAGTGAAGCCAGAAGAGCAAACCAAAGTTGGGAGGCGTGGATGTACGCATGCAGTGTGCGAGCTGGGCGCGGCTAGATGAAAGACTGCATCATCAGCCAATTGGCTCACACATAACAACTAAGTGGATTTTGCATCCTGACGCATGAGCTGAGTGGCTGAAGATAAATAAAATGTCATTTTTTGACATTTTAAAAACATTTATTTAAAAAAAAGATAACCAGTGTAATGTTTTGTAAGAATGCATCGCATCACTTCCCAGCAAACACAAGTGGCCATTCCTTTTTACAGAATTACACCCAGCATATAGAATGAGAAAAACAGTTCTGTGCAGAGTCCATATTACAGAATAAGGATAGATCCTGAAAATTATGTTTGCTTAACTAATGAATAAGGTGATTTATTAGTGAAAGGGGGTAAAGGTCCCTTTAAGATGAGGATGGGTGCAGTCTTTATGTCAAACACACTACATCATGGTGAAAAAAGTCTGGGAATCATTGCTGTAGGCAAGTCAAACTCATAGCCTACACAAGGCTGTTAACCTTGCTACAGAAAGTGCTTTCATAATTGGATAATATCCTAAGATGAATCCGTGAATATATTATAATCATTTTGTTTGCACATGTACTGGATAGATAATATTAAGCCTTGTAAAGCAAATGTCTGCTAAAATGTAATAAATTACGCTGGCAAAGTGGTTTGTTGGACTGCATACAATTAACCACACTCCTTCCAACTATTCAGTCAGTCAGAGATTTACAATGGCTATATTATATCATAGGAAAGTTAACATTTTCCTTTTCACATATAAAGGTCCCCTTTTCACCTAGTATTCTGGAGAATTTCGGCTGGGAGGTGTAGATTCTCAGTGGTCCTGGCAAATTCTGAATATGGCTTTGTTAATTTTGGTGCCAAGCTATGGCCAGTAGTGACAGAGCTGTAGGCAGTCTAAAGCTGGCTGTACACCAGTAGGATTTGGTTTGAAAAAAGCTGTTTCCGATTTTCTAAGAGTTAATGGGTTCAAATTCATGATCACAAAATCGAAAGAGCAGTTTCAGGTTTTTTTTACATTTACTGTTAGAAAATTCTAACAGTAAATGTAGTCTTTATTAAGAAAACTCGATTTATTGTAAAATCAAATGTTAAAATCAAATGAAATTTCAAACGATTCATCAAGTCTCTCATGGCATTATCAAATGTTCTGGTGAGATTATTTGAAAAATTGGCCAGCTTTAGAACCACAAAGATCAAGAAGGAAGATGAAGAAAGTAAGGACAATGATTACCCTAGAAACAATGCTGGAGATGTGTAACATGAACCAAAGATGTTTTATTCAGTGATGTAAATCACCATTAGCAACCCAAATATTAATTTGTCCAGCCAAGAGTAAAGTGCAGGATCCCCAAGTGGCTATGGGAAGTAAAGATAGTAACCAATCAACATTTTATGTCAACGACACACAACACAAACAAACAGAATGTATAGGACTAGTCTAGTCACTCTTAGATATTTTGGTAGATGAGATGCCCTTTGTGGGGTGGCATTTAATAACATTGGATTATATCACACTGTACTGCCAATGGTATTATTAATATCACCATTTCCCTTTGTCTGTCTGGATCTACAGCCACAGACCTATTTCTATTACTAGAGAGGGCAGACGAAAGCAGAGTAACATAAATGGTAACCTGGCTTTCTCACAATACACTCTTACTACTATACTTTCCAAGTCACTGACCCAGAACAAGTATGCAGCCAGTGAATTCAGAACTACTGATCTGCATGCATGTCTTTTGCATCAGTAAGCCAGAATGTATTGAAGCTAGAGAATGAGTATAAGACCTACCATCTCCAGAAGGAGAATCAACATACCAGCCTATGTGTATTTCTTAACTTTTGCAAAGGGATCTTTTAAATACATTATGGAACAGTCAGTTTCTAGCATTAGTGGACCACTAGTGGGGGACTCCTGACGTGACCAACACAATAAGGGACCAATAACAGTGTTGTGTATTCTTCTAGGTACACTTGCACACAGTTTTTGAAGGCACTCGACAGGTAGGTTGTTGTTCCAAACATCTTGGAGAACTAACCATAGATCTTCTGTGGATGTAGGCTGCCTCAACTCCTTCATGTAATCCCAGACAGACTCCTTGATGTTGAGATCAGTACTGTATGTATATATATATATATATACACATACATACACACACGGTGGTCACACCAAATATTGATTTTTTTCACACACTTGTCTAAAACTTTGCACAAGTTTTAGGCAGGTATGTGGAAAAAAAATCAATATTTGTTGTGACCGCCCTTTTCCTTCAAAACAGCATCAATTCTTCTAGGTACACTTGCACACAGTTTTTGAAGGCACTCGACAGGTAGGTTGTTGTTCCAAACATCTTGGAGAACTAACCATAGATCTTCTGTGGATGTAGGCTGCCTCAACTCCTTCATGTAATCCCAGACAGACTCCTTGATGTTGAGATCAGGGCTCTGTGGGGGCCAAACCATCACTTCCAGGACTCCTTGTTCTTCTTTACGCTGAAGATAGTTCTTAATGACATTGGCTGTATGTTTGGGGTTGTTGTCCTGCTGCAGATAACATTTGGGGCCAATCACATGCCTCCCTGATGGTATGGCATGATGGATAAGTAGCTGCTTGTATTTCTCAGCATTGAGGACACCATTGATGCTGACCAAATCTCCAACTCCATTGGCAGAAATGCAGCCCCAGACTTGCAAGGCACCTTCACCAGGCTTCACTGTTGCTGCAGACACTCATTATTGTACAGCTCTCCAGCCCTTTGACGAACAAACTGCCTCCTGCTACAGCCCACTATTTTAACTTTTGACTCATCAGTCCAGAGTACCTGCTGCCATTTTTCTGCACCCAAGTTCCTATGTTTTCATGCATAGTTAGAGGTTTGGCTTCTTGGCTGCAATTCTTCCATAAACACCACTTCTGGCCAGACTTCTCCAGACAGTAGATGGGTGTACCTGGGTCCTACTGTTTTCCGCCGGTTCGGTGCTAATGGCACTGCTGGACATCTTCCGATGTCAAAGTGAAGTATAACTGCCTTGTGTCTTGTTGCTGTGCTCAGCCTTGCCATGGCGTATGACCTGTGACATAAAATTGTCTTCCACAACCTCACCTTAGTAGTAGAATTTGGCTGTTCCTCACCCAGTTTTAAGCCTCCTACACAGCTGTTTCTGTTTCAGTTAATGACTGTGTTTCAACCTACATATAAAATTGCTGATCATTTGCACTTGCTTGGCATAATTGGTTGATCATACACCTCACTCTAGTCCTACAAAATCCCCTGACTTTGCACAAGTGTAATAATTGATGCTGGTTTGAAGGCAAAGGGTAGTCACACCAAATATTGATTTGTTTTATATTTCAGTCTGTTCAGTCAATTAGAATTTTGTAAATTGATAAAATTAACAATATATATTTCTGAAAGCATTCTTTACAGCATCACACCTGCCTAAAACTTTCGCACAGTACTGTATATTGTGTGTTTGTTATTTTAAAAACTTGCACACAATGTTTCTTTTTAATTATATTTATGTGTTTGTTTTAAAAAAAGATGACTGTTAGATGAATATTAGATGGCAGTGCAGTGCTTACAGATTAGTTGTTACCATTACATAAAACACTTACATAAAATTTCCTTTAATGAATCATAGCTACTTGGTTTCCAGAAAAAAAAGAATTGCATCATTCCCAAGTTCATGGACTAGGATATCAGATTCTTTTCTAGAAAAAGATGCATTGGTTTTGCCTAACAAAATATAGTTTGTTACTTTCCTCAGCAGCAGTATTGATGGATATTGAGGGCTCAATGTGCGAGTCGAACAATAGTTTGAGCAAAAGCAGAGACACCGGCACTCCAGGGTAAAGAACAACAAACATCTATTTATTGACGTGCAGCATACTAAGTATTGCAACGGACGTTTCAGGGTCGCACAGGATCCCCTTCCTCAGGCAAAAGCATGCGCTGTTTCCTGAAGCACACAGTTCCGCTGAGTTCCCGGCTGGGAGCGCGCACATGCAGTTGTCCCCTCTGAAACCTGCTAGGCAAAGGAGACACCCATAAACAGCAGGGGATGGCCTCACTACATGACCTGAAATGGGGCAGTGTAAGAAAGTGGATCTTTGGTGAATTACAAAAAAAGTTGAATATCACTAAGTCTATGGGGAGGCAGATGTAAGCCGGCATGTGCCTGTAAACGTATACATGTCCATTTAGATCCAGTTGCCCATTGAGTTACATTAGCTTCAGATCCATCTAAAATCTGACAGGTGGATCTGAACAGAGCGGCCGTGTGAAAAGCCTAAGCCTGCCAGTATAACAAAAGATTGTGAATACAATGTAACTGCGTAGCAGCATTTGTCATGAAGTGAGTT